TCCATTATTCATGTATATTAACTGCTTTTTTTATTTTTTTATTTTTTTTTTACTGGCTGTTTTGCGTATGATTTACTCTTTTTCTTTCTCTCTGATTGTCTGTCTGTCTCCCTCAGCTGCTCCTTTTAAATCTTAGCTCATCTTTAAATTTATGGAGCCAGAACACTTATCTCTGTGTGCAAGTATCAATATGCTGACCTTGCATTTGTCAGTAGTCAAATTTTGTTGTTGTTGTTGTTGCAGTGCTGTGTGCCATACTTACAGTAGGCAATTCAATACATTTGCACTGGGAAACTGGGCCCCTGGGGCTTGTAAACTTTGAAAATATTCTTTTTTGCATCCCTTTAGAAATAAAATTCAAACTTGCAGCAGCATGTACCATATGTTGTGCTTAATTTGATGACTCCTGCCACAAATGCATATGAAATGGCCTCGCTGCTTTTGTGGATACCCTTAGAATGGAATGGATTTGACCTGAGCAAAATAGTGATCCCTTTTGATTCATGGTGGACTTAAAATTTCCTGAGACTTTCTTCTGTTGGCAATATTTGTGTGTGTTCAGGCAATCTTTCTTTTTTCTAGCTGTCAGAGGGATGGACAGAAGGAAAGGGGGAGAAACATAATCTGAAAATAAGTGCAGATTCCGTTCCCAATCTTGCTGCTTGTTCCTCTGCCTCTGTGAGCAACTCAGGGTTTCATATTTTGATCCTGTGTCTCTAAAATGACAGTGAGAAACCTTTGTCTCTTGGGTGGTTCTTTCTGAGAAAGTGGTTCCTTAATGTATCTAGTCTTATTCGGTAAGGAAAAGGAGGTAGGTTTTGAGTGTGGTTTTACAGGATACCTCTGCTAATATTTATGACGCTCCGTTCAATACTTCATCTAAATAAGAGCTAAATATACGGTGTATAGAGAGTGCTTTGCCCAGTTCTGAGGGACAGCTCAGTTTTTACTAGCCCTGCTGCGTGGTAACTTTTGACAAGAAGAGAAGTGTGATTGCAGGGGGAAAGCAGCGATTTCACAAAGCAGTTGTCTGCTGGCTTCCAGCCAGGACAGTGGGTTGAACACCCCTGCTCTTGTTGAAAGTACCACAGGCTCTTTGATAACAAGTGCTTGGGGATTTGTTGTTTTAATGTTTCATCCAAAAAAGACATCTCCAACAACACAGGATCCCAAAACACCTGCTGGGGTATTGGACGTGCATGGAAGAGTTCCATCAACAACATTTCCTTCAATTCCTTGGAATTATCTCAACCAGAGTACATCGACCACGCTTGACCTCACTTAGCTGCAAGATGTAACAAAGCTCACAGCTTAGCCACTCTGGCTACAGAGACTTTAATTCTTTGTGAATTAATTTAGTCTTCTTTCTTGAGTTCTTGGACAGCATTTAAAGAGAGTTCCCTGTACCGACTGCCTGGCGGTGCCGTGCAGTGCAGTAACTTTGCCTTTCTTCTTCTGCCTGCCCTCATGGATTTGCCAACTTCTCAGCACATCTCTCTGAGGACAGTGGCCACAGGTTGAGGCTCGCCCAACTCACACAGTAAAGAGGGAAATTAGTCTAATGCACTGCCTTAACAAAAGAGAGAGTATGAGCATGAATAATTAATACCCCTAGTCTGTGGCAGTGGGATGAAATGAAGTCCCATTTGCTCAGCCTTATTAAAAGAGAGAGAGAGAGAGGGAGAGATGCTGAAGGTCGTTAAGGGACTCGTAACAGGGAAAGAATCGCCTCTGAGATGGATAATGTGTTTTCTAATCTCTGTGGTCTTTAACTAAACATAATGGTAAAGGTACTCTGGCTATTTCTGGCTCGTTGAATTATTAAGCATTCGGGGAGATTGTTTGGCTCTTATCCAATAACTTAAGACTTTTTCATTTGAAGAATGTTAATAGGTAACACTTTTTATTTTGTGTGGTAGCTGCTGATACATTGCACAGAGTATTTAATGCTTCTCCTCCCTTGTGTCCCCGAGGTCCCACGGGGGGAAGGGATGCTCGTTAGTGTGTTATCCCAAGGTACTTCATTTCACACCTAAATGCTCTTGGTCCACTTACCTTCAGCTTGGTACCTATTAGGTCACTGGTCTTGGGTGTCCATTATAGGCTTATAAATATCTTTAAAAGCATAATCCCTTCGCAGTGTGCATTATAGGATTATAAACCTCCTGAAGATCTTATGCTTTATCTGCCCTTTAACACACAGGCCCTTATTTCAAGTCCCTATTGACCAGGTATTTTCATTCATTCTCCTTGGCCTTTGTAAAGAAAATCCATGTTGCCTTGGCATATTCTAGGAGAGCTCATCAGCAGTGTTCTAGCTACTTAAAAATTGTCATCAGTACACTCTTAATTTCCTGAAGACAAGGGTTTTATTATTTAGGCTTATAAAAGCATTCACAGTTCTCTTTGTCTCTTTACCTATCTGTCAGGGTAAGGTTTTGAAATTCATTTGCAGACCATAAAAGAGCTCAAGACACAAGTTGTATTTAAAGACAGGTAAAACCTGGATACTGAAAATCACTAAGAGAACCTTTCTTCTAGGGACAGGGCTAAACGGCTAGAAATACACATGTGCATTATAAAATGTTAAAGAACCCAACCCAACAATCTTTAAAAGAGTAGAGAATGACAAGAGAAGAGAAGGAGTTGAAGGGGGGTAGGAGAAGGTAAGCCAAAAGCTTTTCTTCCAGGTTAGTGGATCTGAACCTTTATTTTTTTTGTGGATTCTCTTTCTTAGCTACAAACACTTTGAATTGGTAGCCATCTACAAGTTATGTGAGGAGAAATAAATCAATTTTCTGCTGGTACTACCTACATATGAGAATTGCTGCAGGTCTAAAACTGAGACTGCAAGCAGGAGAGAATATAATTCTTGCTCCCATGTAAAACAGGGGAATTGTAAATGCTGTGTGGAAGCAATTTTTCATTGTAGCCTTTCATGGCCATAGCTGAATTTTCAAGTATGTATCGTATGTTTATAGGATAGATGGGAGCTATGGTCATTTAGATAAATTAATAGTTTATGGATGTTCCCTTTAAGTATTAGCCCCAGGGGACTTTTGAGCAAGCAGCATTTGGCCCTCTCCTCTCCAGAGCTTTAAGGTGCAGCTGGGTAGGGCTGGTTCAGAGGCTCAGCTGGGAGCTGGAATATGTTGCTGTTGACCCCATCGTTTATTGTTCATAAGTTGATTCAGCAGTTTATTGACTTTGTCTTTTGTTCAGAACTTTCCAAGGAGAAATTTGGTTGCCAGGCACAGATATTAATTTCCTTTGCACTGGGAAACTGTGCTGAGTACCTTTGCCAGAATGTCATTATCTCTGGGTTTGGTTAGTGAGCTGTTGGAAGCTGTTCTGCAAGTGAGAACAGGCTGTAAATTGGTCTTTACCTTGAAGACTATAATTTTCATGCAGTTTGTAGCAGCTTTTTTTGTAGGTAGGGGAGTTTAAATTCATTTTTTAGCAACTTTTGCATCCTAAGTCTCCCTGCAAATGTTGGAGTCGTCTTTGCTTTAGAGAGCTTGGGTAAAAGTGCTTTGGTTTTTTGGGTCTTCACGATGAAAAACTGGTGTTTGAGGCAGATAGCTTCACAATGACAAGACTGGGAAGGGGAACTAGTTGGGAGATTGTATTATAGGGAATTGAGGAATGGAATGACTGTGTTGATTCTAGCAGGGAGCTGATAATATGTGTGAATTTCCCCCCCCCCCCCCCCCCCTCTTTTTCTGCTGCGAGAGAGGCCCCCAGCGGGGGGGGGGGCGAGGGACACCTGCAAATTCTCTACCTTTCTTTGCAGTATTCCTAGAGATTTTTAAAGCTTCTCTTTTGTTGCCTCGAGGCATCCATGACAAAACGATCCCCTCCTGCTCCCTTAATTCCACCTTTCAGATGCTTACTGAAATTGCACAGATAGGAAGTGAAAGGCCAGGCAGCATCACTGTCGCTGCTCTGGCAAAGGCTGAAAGAAGATGTACAGAGAGCATCATATTTATTAAGCTGCACGTGGATAGAATCAGAAAAGTAGCAGTTAAGAATATTGATGTGACGCTGACTTAGCTGTGCTGATGTTGCCATGGGAGCCAGAAGGTTTTTCTGATGTCTTAACCGCCGCTACTCTTTTTGTGGTCATAGGTCGCTTTTAAATTGAAGGAGCATCACCATGAAATCTAATAATGTTTATGAAGTTACGTAAGAGCAGGTACTGTGCTGAGCTCCACTGGGCTTTGACCAGTACATTTTTCTGTTTCTAAAAATACTTGCTCTCCTAAAAGGAAAGGCCCAAGCAGATGAATCTCCTCTGGCCCCGCAGGAGAGACAGTGGACGTGCTGGAACCGACCATTGGGCAGATCTGAGCAGCTGGGAAACAACTCGTACCTCTCTTCCAGCCCCTGCTCAAATCAGCTTGGATGTGGCTTAAAATCAGAGTTGGTTTTAGTCCTCTCCCCTCTGAGCTGCCACTTCAGATCTAATATTTCTCTTAGCCTGTTTCTGCTGCATGGTCTGTGCAGAGGTGACCAGCAGGGCCTGTCAGCACCAGGCCCTCTCCAGTTCTGCTCTCCAGTTTCTGCTGTATTTGAGTTAATCCTTTTTTGCATGATCCTTCTGTCCAAACCTTCTAAATGTTGAGTGTTCACTTTTACAGTCTTTCCAGTGTTAAAATCAGTGAAGAAACTCTTTGCTTTGCCATGTAAACCTTAAGAAGTTGACCTGGAGAAGATGACTGTGGCTTGCTTTGCCTGCCTGAGAGCCATACCTGTCTGATCCGGGTGGGCAAGAGCCTGGCATCCCTGCTTCTTCATGGATTCCGTGGTGAAATTCCATTTCCTTATTTCTGAGGGTGTTGTTGCCCTTCTTAATAGAGAGAGATCTACATCTTGGTTGTATATTAGCATCTTGAGACACAAGTCCTGCAAACCATCTCTGATAATAACTCAATGCTGCAGCAAAATGTAGTTGTTGTGCTCATGCTACATTTAGCTGGTGTTTGTTTTCTTTCTGCCAGATTCTTCTTTACAATCTGGAGACAAGTCAGTGTCTGAGGAAGATGGGCAACTCGATAGGTGACTTTAGCTGTGTCAACCTCCAGAACAGCCCTCCAAACATGCTTGTTACGGGCAATAAGGACAGAAGGTAGGTACTTCCAAGAGCTGTAACCCGTCTCAGATTAGCTTCCTTCCTGTCCTGCTGTCCTACATCTGGACCTGCTAGAATTTGTTTCTCTCCTAATGTTTCAAATGCAGCCTGCGTGAACTTCAGGAACAAAATATTAGGTAATAGTTGGATGTGGCTGCCAGTTTGCTTTGTTTGAGAAAGCTCCATGGGAAGACTTTTCTTTCTAAGCCATTTGGTGGACGCAGTTGGTGTACAGCCCAGCGAGACCACTTGGAATATCTTCCACTTCCCCACCACCACCCGCAAAATTAGTTTGGCATTTAAAAGCTCACTTTCTGATATTAAAAAAATAACCTAAGGGATGAATCATGTAGGATGAGATTGGGTCCGTCTGCCAAATGATGTCAAGAGTGTATTTCGGAACACTATGATGTCCCTCAGGTGACAAAAAAGAGACTTTCATATGAACAGATTCCAGCTTCTATTTAGCTGATTAGCAGCTTTCTCTTTAACTCCTTGGCTTGGGGAGCAGGATTTTCCCAGCACAGTGCCTGGTGCCAGGACTGGACGCACTGGGAACAGTCAGTGCGAAAAGGATTAAAGTGCTTAAAAAGACCCTTTGAGTCCAATTTTTAGATTTTCTTTTTTTTTTTTTTTTGGCTAGTTATCTGTGGGGTCTGATCCAGTGCACCAAAGGAGATGGGGGGTGGCGAGGAGCCAGTCTCTAATGGCTCCCTGGTCCTTCCCTCCTCCTTTCTGCACTGGGCATCAGGCTGCAGGTGGTGGTCTGCTGTGGTGGTGGGTATCAGATTGTAAGGCAGATCCTTCCCTCTGCCAAATCCCAGACCTCTGTCCCGCCAGCGCAGCAGCTTGCAAAAGTGATTATTTTGTCAAACAGCTTTTTTTTTTTCCCTCCTTGGTGAACGGGCAGTGCAAGCAAACCTCACACTTTCTCAGCAGAGGGGATAAAGGAAATAGATGAAGTTTGACACGTGCGGCTGAATCCTTGGGAGTTTTTTTTCCTCTAAAAGCAGATAATTGATTTTCCAAAGCACCCCAGTAAAACTAACTCAAATTTTAATCTCTTGCACGATGTTGGGAGAGTAGATAAGCTGATATCCCTTAAGAGAGCTTGAAATTTATTCCCTTTATACTAGAGGAAATACCTGCACCCTTTCCCCTCTGGAAAGCTTACCAGTTTTTAAGCTCAAGCACTGACTGGTTTCAAGGGCTTGGCCACCACTAAAATAGCAATAAGTTAGGAGTCAATAGTACTGCAAGTAAGTTTGGCATCCAGGAGGCAAGACTGTGTGTGTTCTGGAGGTCAGTTCCTTGTGGGATGCTGCTTGAGGGGCATTAATAGGTGCTGGGTGGCCATGGGTGGAAGGTGACTTGAACCTCCATGGCCCTGTCATGGAGTAAGTGTCCTAAGCAGGGACCTGGCCACGGGAGTTCAGACTGCTGGTGGCCAGTGGGAAAAGTGACTGCTTGAATTGAATACAGAAGTCTGGCCTCTTCTCCCAAGGAACAAGCGACGGGACAAGAGGAAATAGCCTGAAGTTGCACCAGAGAGGTTTTGGTTGGATATAGAGGAAAACTTCTTCACTGAAAGAGTTATCAAGCACTGGCCCAGGCTGCCCAGGGAGCTGGTGGAGTCCCTGTCCCTGGAGGGGTTTAAAAGACACGTGGATGTGGTGCTGAGGGACATGGCTTAGTGCTAGACTTGGTAGTTTTAGGTTAATGGTTGGACTCGATGATCTTAAAGGTCTTTTCCAACCAAAATGATTCTGTGATTCAATTTTTCTAGTGTACACTATTCTTTTATTCAAAGCAATGATTTTGAAAAGTAACACTTGTGAAATGTGTTTGGGAGGACCTATAAAATGTATTTTTCATTCAAAAACTATTCCTGAAGCATTGCTGGTTTATTTAATTAATTACTGTTCTTCACACTGGCAAGAGATCTGATAAGAAGGAAGGTGTGCTGATGCACCCTTTGTCTTGGTGGGACTGAGGACATTGAACAGCACAATACCAAAAAATGTGTTCTGTGAATGGATCCAAACATCTATTGTGCTCTCCTGAAGGCAAGCAAGCTTACCCTGAGGTAGCCTAGCAGGAGAGTCCAAGCTGGCCATGAGAACACCTTCCTTACAGCTCCTTTGATCTCTGAGGGACCCGACATGGTCCCACTGTTGAGGCAGGAGATGACAGGCCACGCCAGGTCAGCATTAGAGCATCACATTGGATTTGTAAAATGCTTTTCCTATTTTTTTTTTTTTTTTTAAAGCACATCTAAACAACTGAAATGTGCCTCTGGTTCTTCCAAGGGTGTCCCAGAACAGACACCTTCTTGAAACCCTTGCTGATGAAGTAACCATGACACAGTCAAGTCTTTGTTTCCAGCTGTGCTCACCACAGGGAAGCAGCTTTGGTAGCCATGCAGACCACACGCAGTAAGACAGGGAGAGTGCTGGGTGTGAACAAGTCCAGAACAGCCCATCCTGACCCCCAGCACAGCTCTAACACGTAGCCAAAGCTGCTCTCAGCTGGAGTGGGAGAAGACGAGGAGTCCTTCCACCATCAGCAGCAGTTGGGGGGGGGTTTCCCCAAAGATGGCTGCAGAGCCCCACAGACCGTGCCCCTCACTGTGCTCCAGCATGTTTCTGGATGTGTCAGATGAATGTTGCTCTGTTGGAGTTCTGGACCCTTCCCGATGCCTTTTATTTCAGTGGCTGACACGTGTTGTTTGTAAAATCCTGTGATGCAATCTCCATTTGTGAAAGGAGGAGGCAAGACTTGCAGCACCATTAGGATCGTAGCAGGGGGATGGAATAAAGTACAGTTAATGTGTTAGAACAAGTGTGTTTTGGCTTTTTCTGGAATTAATGGGTACCTGATGGTTTCATTCGTGATAGCCCTTGGCTGCGAGGAACTTTCTCTGGCTTCTTTTCAAATCTGAGATCAGTATTTCCCTTTTACTTCTGTTTCCACTTGCTGCAATTTTTTTTTTTTATTATTTGTTTATGTACTTTGCTTTATCTCTTAATCTTGGTATATAAGGATCAAAACCCCTACTCCTTTGTGATATGTGCTGAGTGTAGAACTTGACAGCATTAGCTTTAACTGGGGTGTTTTTTTGACTTGTTGCAGTGGTTGAAATCCTCAGCTCTTTTTTTACAGTTCTGCTTCTAGCCAAGTCCTTGATACATTTCCCTTCAAAATGCCTTGTCTGAGTGATCAGTAATTCCTGAAAACCAGATGTACCTAAAAGCTGCCTGCAGTGGGGTGCTGCTTTCTTAAAATCAGAAGAGATGCTGATTGCTGGGTGCTTGTGGACAGTTTTGGTGATTAACTCAAGTGTGTGAGCCTGTAATTCCTTTGACTTGTCTTTGGAACTGCCACACGTTTAGTCTCTTCCAAAATCTTTGTAATAATAGTCCTTTTCTTGACCCTCACAATAATATTACCCCTTGGCCATAGTGGGTGTGGGTTAGGTCCCAAGGGGTAGGTTGTTAGCAGTATGCCCAGAATATGGTACTTTAAGCCTCGTGGCATTGCTGACATCTAGGGAGGCACAGCTAGAGGAGCTTTCTCCAAATTTCACTTATATTTTATATCACCTACAACTTGAAAAGAGACAGAGAGGCTCTGTATGGTGGGAGAAGTCTGCCCCAAAAAAAAGTTTGGTAATGGAAGTCAGAGTGAAAATTCAATGGTGAGAAGTGTCATCTGTGTTGGATTTCTAGCCCTGTAGTGGCCACGTGGCTCCTGCTGTCCTGGGCACATCTTCCTAACCCCAGAAGGACTCGTGCCCTCCGAGCCAGGGGCTGGGTTGCTCTCTGCCCTTCCCTCTCCTGCAGGGTCAGGGTGTTCGACCTGCGCAGCAGCGAGTCTCTGTGCTCCCTCTATGCCCACCAGCTGGGGGTGTCTGCCGTCCAGATGGACGACTGGAAGATTGTCAGTGGAGGAGAAGAGGGCTTGGTCTGTGTGTGGGACCAACGGATGGGCACCAAACTCTGGGAGATGCACGCCAGGTATGTTTGTCTGCGAGGCTCTCTGTCGGGTCTGGCTGACAGCAGGAATGTGGGAACGGGATGGTGCTGGACCAAAATGATAAGAACATGCCCATGTCTAAAGCTTCTGAGAGTTCTGTTTGGTTTTCATGTGATTTGGGAACAGATTGCCTCCCCACCTGGAGTCTTGCACGTGTGTCTGTGTGTGCCCCTTAGCTGTTGTAGGCTTCTCAGTCATTAGTTAAAAGGAGTGCTTCAGTTGGCACTAATAAAGCATGGAAGTTGTTGCCTCTGGATTTTCCAGGAAGTTCTGTCTTCTCCCTGCTCCATCCCCAACCAGTATTCACTTCACTGAACCCTGGATTTAAAATGCTGGACTTGTGGCTGTTGTCTTCAGAGTGACTGGTTCAGGCTGTCTCTATCCACTGTATCCCTACACAATCCTTGTGTGTCTGTTCACCTCAGTCCCACGTTCCCTTAGCAGGAACTACCAAAGCCGGGCTGATAGTTAAATACTCATTTAAATACTAAAATACCAGTTTGTACTGAAAGTAGAAGCAGAGATCAGTGTGCTGGACCTGAGGGGACACTCCTAGTTGCTACAGCCAAATGATGATTTCCAGATCCAGTCACAATTCCCAGGGAGCTGACTTTGTCTGGATGAAGACCTCCAGGATTTAGCCCCCTCTAAGTCTGATAGCCTTAATAAAATGAACAGATAAATCCTGATCTTTTTGGGTTTTTTTAATCCATCTTCCCCAAAGAGGAGCTAGATTAGGTATTTACCCTCAGAGAAGTTGAAGTTGGAGTTGTCATTGATGACCAGCAGGGTATCTCCCTCTCTTGTGACCCTTGTGAATTCTGAAGCCCGTTGTGGTGCAGCTGGTGCTTTAAGGACAGCACTGCACTGGTTGTCCCCTGCGGCAGCACTAAGGAGCACACCAAGGAGGAGGGCAGGCAGAGCAGGTCTGACCTTTGCCTGGGTTCTAAAAGCAAACCCATGGCTGAAACGTTTAAAACACTGTCTAATCTGTCTAGGAATCAGAAGGGATCACTCCACTCAAGAAGGCCTTCACAGATAAGGTGGTGTGGGGTGTTGTCCATGCCGACAGACCAGTGTTGTGAGTGGAAAGCAAGGGCAGAAGCTGAGAGAGGTCACAGGAGACACGTTGGGGTCGTGGAGAGGAGCTGGCTCAATCTGAGGAGATAAGTTACTCCTGCTTGAGCTGCTGTGGTGCTGCAGGGTCAGTTTGTTCACCAGGGAGAGGAAAAGGAACAAAGACCAGAGCTCTTAGCTTGTGCCTTGTAGTGCATTTCTAAATCAGCCTCAGTGCTTGGGGTGGGGTGGGTCCTGGGGGTCCCTGTCCTTCATTTTGGGAAGCATCCTGCTGCTCCCAGCAGTGTGCTGCTGCAATCCTTAGAGCAGCAAAGGGAGCAGGCAGCCTGGAGCCCTCACACACAGTCTGTGCTGCCAAGTGGAGATGTTTTCTGGCCTCCACGTGTGTTCTGGTAACAGCCCACTAGATGGGGATAAAAGCTGTGATAAAATCTGCTCCAGCCTGGAGAAGAGCCAAAGGTGCAGGTTCCCAGCCTCTGCCCATAGACAGGGCACTGATTTCAACGACTTCTCCTTTAACCCAGAGCGATCCCTTTCCTGCACTTTGGGTTTGAGGAGCCTGGCACCTCACCCAGCACTGTGGGTTCTCTTCCAGACACCCCGTGCGCCACGTGTGGTTCGACTCCCACAGCCTGATCACAGCCCACATCCCTGAGGAGAGGGCTCCCCGCGGGGCCAGCCTCAGCCACGACGACTTCGCCACGCACCGCAAGTGAGTCAGCCAGCTCCAGAGCCCGCTCACCCCTCCTGGCATCATCTGCACCCCTAGGTAGCCTTAAATAGCACCCTGAGCACCTGAGTCATGATCCAGAGCAGGAGGAGAGAAGGTATAGCATCTAAAAATAAAATGGGAAAAGTTTAAAGAGAAGGCTTTCAGAGCTATCGATGGATTGGATCTGTATTTACTTCTGAGCACAAAAAAACATGCCTTTCTTCTTCAGCAGGGGGATGCAAAGGCCACTGAATCCAGACAGGGAGTGCAGCCCGCTCCTTGCTCTAGATATTAGTAGTGATACCTCCTCCTGAAGGAAAACTACTGATATTTAAACACCAGGTGTTGATATTTGCATCTCAGATGGTTGTTAGCATGTCTAATTAAACTACCCAACTGCAATGTACTTCTCGTCCCCTCTCCAGAACAGATCAGAGCAGTTTCAGCAGATGACAGTGATTCACTGTTTCCCTGGGAGGAGGCAGGAGGGAGGGATGGGGTTTATATTCAGCTCCTGAAGGCTCCAGTCTCGGCCCTGGATGGCGATGCCTTAACTTTGTTCATTTCCCTTATTGAAACACAGAGTTGAGGTAAAATGCTGTGTGCTGGTTGTTCTGCACAGGCATCAGGGGATCATTTATGCCTACGAGTTCTCAGCAGAGCAGCAGGCTGCAGAGAGTGTCCTTCCTATCTGCCGCTCCTCCTACGACGAGGTGACTGGCTACAACTACAACATCGGCCTGGCGGTGCCCTACGACAGCATTTAGGAGACTCCCTGCTCCAGCCCGAAGGCAAGAAGGGGATCCAGGTGGGACGAGCACCAAGAAGAGGGTGTTGGCTGCAGGCACATCAAATGGGCTGAGCATTTCCCAAAACCTTGGGGGTGTTGTCCCGGTTAGAAGGCAGAATTGTGTCCCACCTCCCTTATCCCTCAGTTTCCCAGACAGAGAGGTAAATAAGGAAGGCAGGGGTAATGAAAACCTTGCACCAAATTGAAAATTAACAAAATGAAATATATTATTTAACAGGGAACAGAAAGGAAGAAGGGAAGGGGTTTAACAGGGTACAGAAAGGAAGAAGGGTAGGGGTTTAACAGGGTAAGGGGATTATAGGAACAACAAGGCAAGGAACATTAAACTTCCAAATATACAAAACCCAAATGTTGTGCTGAGGCTCCCCAGTGCTGGATCTCGCTGGATTGAGGTGGATTGAATCTTGGATGCACAATCCTTGGACGTGGATGGAGGCAGGGAAGAGTCTGTAGATCAGGCCCAGGTCTCCAAGATGGCCACGGCCACGTGTAGCACAGGGAGCAGCAGAGCAGCGTGTGCCCAGGTACAAGGTCAAAGGAGCAAGAGCAAGAGGAAGAGGCGTGCCTTCCTCGCCCCTTTTATAGACCTTGGCAGGAAGTCCCGAAGACAGGAAAAAGGGGAGTGGGAATAGGACAGGTGTACGCCCCTTTCATTCAGGCTTGTACCTGGTTTAGGGTTTCAGATCTCCACCCACCAGGGGCAGATTTTAAACCATTACAGGTGTAGACCAGGACAGAGTGTGGCTGCCCTCGAGCACGGCACTGAAATAGGTTGCTGTGCAGATGTTCAAAGGTCCACTCTGGTGGAGCCAGGAAGGGGAACAGGACACTGGTGTAAACAGAAATGTTCCTTCCTGCTCCTTGGGGGGGGAAATGTTGCTGCTCCCATCCTGGCAGAGGACGTGGTCAGGAGGCAAGAGCCCCCAGTGGCAAACTGCTGAGGTGGTGGGAGGCTTGGGGGCTCCTTGAGGAATCCAAGCCTATCTTGAGAGGGGGGGAAAAACCCAAGATGCTTGGAAAGAGCATCTTGCTGAGCCACACGTTTGAAATTTCTTACCTTGTAATCAGCTGATCGTTCTCCTCCTTGGAATACATTGGAATGTGTCTGGGAGCAGGATCAGGCACAGAGGGTTACGGTGGCTGGGAGTGGAGAGTGTGATGGAGAGAGGGAGGGGAAGCTTGGCCTTGGCCAGCTTGGAAACTCAGTAGGCTACACACTTCAGAATTATTTTTAAATACGTTATTTTTTTAAGCCTCTGAAATTCTGGATTAAATGTTTTCTCACTGTATGTGTACATGTGTTTGTGGGGGTTTTGTTCAGAAGCCTTTCAGGGTGTTCTGCCCCACACACTGGAACAAGAGGCTGTTGTGTCTGGGGTTAGTTGTCAGGTGTCTTCTGTGCTGGATCAGAGATGGCTTCACAGCTCTCCAGCTTGGGCTGGTTTTCCTTGGCCCCAGGGCCAGCTTTCATGTATTGGATGGGTTTTTAACAGTTCACTTTTCCCTCATGATGGATCGATAAAAGAAGTAGAGGGACAAAACCATTCTGTCCAACCAATAAATTTTATCTTTCGTAAAGCTTTAGTCTTTGGGTTGGTTTTTTTCCTTCCTGTGCCCTTCTGGGAAGTCAGTGCCCTTCCATGATTCCTGGAAGAGCAAGAAGTGCCATAGACACGTAGTTTGGATGAGATCTCAGCTGAAAACTGTCAAATAAATAATAGCTTCTGTAGCACACATGATGGTGTGGGTTGCTCCAGCCCTGTGGCTTCTGATGTGGCTGAACAGAGCGAGCTTCCACCAGCATTGTTCCCTTCCCCTCCGTGCCACGACCTGCTGCCCTGTCTCCCTTCCTGCACCCTTGGCTTCTTGCAGCTCCAGCTCTCCTTATCTTGCCTTGTTATCTCAGGACAGCTTTGTTCTTTCTTCACCTCCCTGCTGCCAGTAGCAGGTAAGTTTGTCTCCTGCCTGCCTGGGTCGAGGTCTGTTTGGGGAGTCCACCTCCACAATTCCCCTCTCTTTCTGCACTGCCTGGGGCAGAGCTCCAAACTGCTCCCTGAGCCTGGGAGGCTTTGCAGCACCTGCATCTGTGGAGGTTTCTCAGGCACCTGCAGGCTCTGGGCTCCCCAGTTCCAGAGACAGGAGCTACCGGAGAGAGTCCAGTGGAGGCTGTGAAGCTGCTGAGGGGCTGGAGCATCTCTGTGCCAGGACAGGCTGAGAGCCCTGGGGCTGGTCAGCTGGAGAAGAGAAGACTTAGAGGGTATCTGATCAATGCTGAGCAAGAGCTAAAGGGCCCCTGGGGGCAAGAGGCTGGGGCCAGACTCTGGTCAGTGGTGCCCAGTGACAGGACAAGGGGCAACGGGCACCAACTGGAACCCAGGAGGTTCCACCTGAGCAGGAGGAGAAACTTCTTTGGTGTGAGGGTGGCTGAGCCTGGAGCAGCTGCCCAGAGAGGCTGTGGAGGCTCCTGCTCTGGAGAGATTCCAAACCCACCTGGATGTGATCCTGGGCGCCCTGCGGTGGGTGAGCTGCTGGAGCAGGGGGGGAGAGTTTGAAATGGAAAAGGAGATTTAGACTAGAGAGCAGGAAGACATTTTTGGCACTGAGGGTGGTGGGACCCTGGCCCAGGCTGCCCAGAGAGGTGGTCACTGCCCCATCCCTGGAACCATCCCAGGTGAGGCTGGATGGGGCTCTGAGCAACCTGCTCTAGTTGGGGATGTCCCTGCTCCCTGCAGGGGTTTGGACCAGATGACCTGAAGGGTCCCTTCCCAGCCAAAGAATTCTGTGATAATCATTACCCCCTCTTACTGACACCTCAATTCCTCCTGCTCTCTATTTCCTAGCATTGCACGGGGTACCCAGCCCTTGCTGGCTGCAAGAAGCTCTGATACCTCCTCCAAGAAAACCAGGGTATGGAGAGGGAGCAGGGCCACGATCTCATGCCAACCTGCTGCATCAGCCAGGGCTTTGCTGGGGAGGGGCAGCCCCTGCTGGGTGATCCAGGGGTGGGGGAAGGACCCTCCAGACACACAGGAGAGCTGCTGGGGGCAGGATCTGAGCCAGCAGCACAGAACCTGCAGCTGAGCTGGGAGTGGGCTGGTTCTGCAGTGTTGTGTGGTCACTGCTGTGAGAAAGGGGAAACGGAGCCTGGGTCTCCTCCTGAGCCCTGGGGACCTGTGGAGAAGCTGGACGTTGTGCTCTCTGCATGGGGAGGGAAGGAGCTCTGAGGGTTTGGCGTGGGGAGGAGAAGATGGTTGAGGTTTGGTCTCAGCTGGGAGCTCAGGCTCTGCCCCCCTCCATCAGGTGGTGCTGATGCAGGGCAGCCAGGGCTGAGCCCGGGAGGTGGAGGAGTCAAGAGAACGGGCCTGAAGCCCCCAAGAGAGGCAGAGAAGGCTGTGGCTGCCGTCAGGCAGCACCAGGAGACCCTGGGGGCCTGGAAGGCTGCTGGGGGGATCTGGGAGCCCCATCACACTGCCCCCTCCTCAGCCCCAGCACCAGCCCTGGCTCTGGGCAGCCCCCCAGGTCAAACCCCTGGTGCCAGCACCACGGCGGCTGCTCCCTGTGGCAGGGGCTGGAGTTCTGTTGAGCCTACGAGTCCCCAGGGGGAAGCTATTTTTGATAAAACAAACAAATCTTCCCAGCTTTTCTAAAAATAGCCAGTGCCCTTTTTTCTTCCTCCCCTTGCTTCCCCGCTCAGGCTGCCTGAGACAGAAATCCACCCCGATCATACCAGTAAATGAACCTCCAGCTCCAGTGCCTCATTCCAGCAGGAACATGTGGGGGTGGAAGCCACTGGGCTGCCAGAAGCCCAGGTCCCCACGGCCCCGCTGCGTGGTCCCATGCTGCTCCTCCTGCCTCCAGCCGGCCAAGGGGGCTCTGGTTGGGTTTAAATCTGGGGTACTCCTTGTGCCGCTGCCCCCTCCGGGGGTGCAGAGGGAGCCGTGGGTGCCCATGCAGGTGCCCAGGCTGCTGCCTTCACCTCCTGCCCTCCAGCATCCCCAGCCCTGCCCACACACTCCCCATGGCACGGGGACAGGTCTGGCAGCTGCCTCCCCAGAGCAGCACAAGGCAGGGGCTGGAAATGCAGCTTGATGTTGAGATCAGGCTCTGCGGGGGCTCTGTGCACAGGCAGAGCCCTGGGCCAGGGGCGGCTGGAGGGTTTCTCAGCAAGGAGTAAAAAGAAAAATCCCTTTTATTACAGATAAAAGCCTCTGATGTTTCTAGAGAGCAGAAGGCA